ACTACCATTTGTTGTCTATAAATAGAGGATTTTCCTCTCATTTTAAAACAACAAAAAATTTGAACTTCTTCTTCTTCTTCTGGACAATTAAATATTTGTGTACTTTGCTCTTGTTGAATGACTTACTAACACCATTGTTTTTGTATCAATACACTACTAAACAGAATCGTTCTATCTTGAGATCAGGATGTATTCCTTTAAACGTCGGATACTAAAGGGGAATAATTTCCTTAAGGGGATACTATGCATTCAATGGACTCGATTTTTTCCATTCTTTTTCATTCTATTTTTGAAGATCCTGGTAGTTTCGAATAGTGACTAAACAATAGCGTACGAAATATTGATTTCTCTCTAATTTATGAAATACGGGTCTTATAACTCTTTAATTCGAAAGTGCTAATTTCCAAAATCCAAGGAAATCCACAAACATTTCCTTACTTTAAGGTATATCCTTGGATTTAAAGGGTTGAAAACTCCTATAAATATTCAATCTCATTATGTTTAACAAATCGTCCCAAGCTAATAAAGCAAAAAAAAATCAACTAGAAAAAAAAAAAAAAAAACAAAGCAAAATCTATTAACAAAAAAAAAAAAAAAATTAGCCTTCGTGAAAAAATGGAGGCAAATAAGCTTGTATCAGTATTTCTAATGTGCATGATAGTACTATCAGTTGTTCACGTTTCCGAGGCTGCAACTTTCGACAGCTGCAACGAAAATTGTCAAAGGGATTGCACTTCGAATGGCCATGGCTCTACTTATTGTGCATTGAGATGTGAAACTGATTGTGGTTATCAGGCGCTTAAAGGTACCTTTCTTTTTTACGTCCCTGATTGTTCATGTTATTAGTCTTTTAAGATTTTTGTGCATCTTCATGAGACTAAATATCTTTATTGTTATATGAAATCATTCTTTTTTAAACTTCAAATATTTCAAAATAAATTTAATTTATCAGAACTAGTGTAGGTAATATTTGGTAATGGAAGAGCATTTTTTATTTTTTTATTTTTTTAATTATTATTATTATTATTATTATTATTAATTTGTCGACTTGAATATTCAAACTATATATGTTTTTAAATTTATAATTTTTGTGTTTTATTTTTAACAGGTGAATTTCAGAGCCTCACGTCTTGAGCTGGACCAAGAATGCAGGGAATCACCCTAAAAGGAGAAAGGGGACAATGAAGATTAAAATAGTGGAATTTATTTTTAATTCATTCATTCATTTTAATTTCATTTTCCACTACCATTGTATAATGCTCAGAATTAAATAAAAACAAATTGATTTTTTTATATTTAAATGTTAGTGTCTTCCTTGAGTTCATTGCGCTAAAGTTCAACTCTCATATATATATATATATATATATATATATATATATATTTAGTATCAATTAAGCGAAATTATCAGTCTTAATGATATCAATACGGTAAATGATACTGATTTAGTATCAGCTAAGAGAAATTATCAGTTTTAATGATACCAATATAATAGATGATACTGATTTCATTATCATTAAGCGAAATTAGTTGGGGATATATAGTATAATTATTTAGTGAGGTATGAATATAAAGGGGTATATGTTTGTAATTATTTTTGCTTTTATGGAGGTATTTGATTAGTTTCCCCTATAATAATGTACAAAATTTTCATTTTTTTTCTTAGCAGGATATTCGATACACAGAAAAGGAATTGTCGAACTTGTTGTGTTGCTGTTGAAATTTTTTGGCTAGGGTTTGAGTTTATGAATTCTAGATATTACTATAGTCAATAGCAAAGTTATCCGTTATCAGGTTTCTATACGGTATAGAAAATTTATTCAGAATCTTTTAAATAAAATAGGGATAAGGGTCTGAAAAATATCCCAATTTTGGTCGGATTTGCTATTGCGATACTAAACTTTCATACGGACATATTACCTCCCTAGGCTATTTAATACCGTATTTTAAACATATATATTTGCCCACGTGGACATAAAAAATAATACAAAATTATAAATAGTAATGTGTCCACGTGGGCACATATATACCTTTAAAATTCACTATTAAATAGTTCAGAGGGTAAAAAATACGATATTAAATAGTCTAGGGAGGTAATAGATCCTTATAAAAGTTTAGTATCGCAACATCAAATCCGACCAAAGTTGGGATATTTTTCAGACCCTTATCCCAATAAAATACAATTATAATTCAAAATCCATGTCACCTCTGAATTTATTTAATTAGATATTATAGAAATTACCCAAAATATGATGTGTGTTTAGTGATTAATAATTTTAGTCAACCCTAGGTAAGTCTCCCAATCCAAGCTATATTCGACTTTATGGACTATAAGGCCTAGTAATTAATCCGTTTCTTCTTTATGGAGACACATCAATTTTGTTCTGATGAATCTAGAAACTTTGTCTGTTCTTTATTTTCATATAAAGTGTATGATTATCTCATCAAAAAAGTTTAATTTGTCAAAGAGTGTACTTTTAATTACTTAATTTTTATTATGTCTCAACAATACACATATAGGCGCACCGACATTTACATGTAGTATATTGTGCTGGATATTCTCAGGACATTTACATGTAGTGGTTTTTTTTTTTTTTTTTAACATAGCAGTTAAAATGTAGATTAATACTATGTTTCTTGGGTTGAAGAAAACAGAACTACAATGTATTTCATGCCAAAAATAATTATGTCAATGCATTAAAGTCTGTACATTATAATGGAAATATATCTTTATTTGTTTCTGATGCTCTGTACCATTTTTTCGAACTTTAGTATCAATATTGTTTATTTGGTTTAAATTTAAACGGAATATGACTTATTTGTAAAAATACAAAGACAAATATAATGCTTTTTCATTAATTATTCTTACACTCTATTATTTTAAACATAACATATAAACATGACATTTAACTTTAGATGTGTTCAAATAAGCACTTAAATTTGTATAAAATTGAATAAATAGACACATTTATCATACATGACAATTTTGTGTTCTACCTGACATGTGTGTTTAATTGTTCAATTTTATATAAGTTTAAGAGTCTATTTGTGCACACCCAAAGTTGGAGGACATATATGTCAGTTGAAGCCAAATTAAATGACATATTTATGTATTATGTCATTATTTTATGCTGGAATTTGCCCCTTATATTAAAGGCATAATACATATATTGGCCCCTAAACTTGGCTTCAAATTTTAACTTTGACCTCCAACTTTCATAATGCACAAATAGGCACTTTAACTATCCTACCTTTAAATAAATAAACACGCGATTTTTGGAGCCAAAAGCGTGAAATGCACACGCTGCCACGTGTATTAATGACCCACTCAATGGCTGCCAACTATTCAATGCATATGGGCCCGTTTTCCAGTCTATTTGACACCTTTTCAAATAATTTCTCTTTATTTTTGCCTCACAACTTCTTCCTTCACTTTCATTTTGTGGTAAATTAATATTTGAAAATGTCAATTATTCAATTTATAATTTATTTGTCTTATTTCTTTTTTTAATTTATGTGTATTCAAAGATTACATTTAAGATACTATAAATTATTAGACTTAATATTTAAAAAAATTTATTACAAATTTGAAAATTACGTAATATACACTATTAATTACAATAATTACTAATTTAAAATATTTTTTCAATCTAATAAGAGCCTACAAACACACTATACGTTATATTTAAAAGTACTATAAATCATAATTAAAATATATTTTTTTTAGAAAATTTTTTGTTGACTCTTGAAATTTTATTGGTGACACATGAATTTGAATAGATGAAACAATATATATTATTGAAAGTTAACAATACTATAAGTTATTCGAAAATGACGTTAATGATTTTTATAAATTATAACAAATTAGCAACTAAAATATTTTTGAAAAAACATACAAAAAATTAGTTGATGAATCAGCCACCAGACCGTGGACATGTATGCTTTTTGTGATTAAAATTGAGTTTAAGGGTTATTTTGGTCATTTAAGGATTTTTCTTTAAACTTCAAGCTTTATTAATAGTGATGTATTCATTTGAGCTAACATGAACATTTACTACCATATAAATATATATAATTTATTCAAATTTAAAATTTAAAACTATTTATTTAACGTCAATTAAAAATTAACTTTTAAATTAATTATTAGCACGGGCTCTTCATCACTAGTATATAATATAATAAGCGGGAATAGAGAGGACCTTGGGGTCGACACGTGTTCCTTTTTCCTTCTGAACAAAAAAAGACTATACAGACAGGAGGTCAACCTGTAAAAAAAAAAGGGGGACCCATATTTTACTATTGAAGGATGCGTGTTTCTTTTAAATTTCTTTTACCATACTAAATAATTGTATAAAATATTATAAATCACGATAATTAATTACTTAATTATTTAAAAGATATAAAAATATATAAAAGATCTGATTGACTCTTCAAATTTTACCGGTGACGCATAAATTCGGACAAATGAAATAATATATATTATTTGAAAATTTCTTAGAAAGTACTATAAATTACAGTAATTAACAGCTAGAAATATTTCAAAGACAAAAAAAATGATTGAATCTCAAAAAAAAAAATTAGTACTACACGTGTTCCTTTTTCCTTCTTGCCAAAAAAAAACTTCATTATAATTTTTTTTCGTAATAACAAAAAATTTTATTAAATGTCACTTGCATTTTGCAGTAAACAACAAATAATGCAAAAAAGAGGGGAAAATTGTTGAAAAGAATATAAAAAGGGTTTAATTGTCCTTTCAATGCTTTTTTTACTGTTGACCCGTTGAATTTTTACATCTGACGCGCCTAATTTGAGTGTATTTCACGCATTTTGCCAGGTAGGATCCGAGTGTTTTTTTGTTTAAGTTTTGGATAGTTAAAGTGCCTATTTGTGCACTTACAAAGTTAAAGGTCAAAATTAAAATTTGAAGCCAAATTTAGGGGTCAAAATATGTATTATGCCTATATTAAACCCTAAACCTTCCAACCAGTCTCCAAAATTCATCAATGGCTAATACCAATAACTTCCCTATTGATATCACGATTAATATACTCCTAAATATTCCAAGGAAATCACTTGTAAGGTTCAAATCCGTTTGCAAATCATGGCGTTCTCTAATTGAAGCTCATCAATTCACCAAGCACCATTATTACCTGAACCAAATCATAAAGGGCTTCAAAACAGAACGAGACCACTCGATTGACAACACGATTATTGATCCTCCTTCCGTAATCAGTCATCAATTGGCCCTAAAATTTATCAATTCTAACATCAATGGAGTTTTTCTTCTAGTTGTACCATTGCCTGACAAAATCGTTTTCTGGAACCCGGAGAACCTCAGTGAATCAGCATCAATCTCCCGGGTCCCAAATACGACATCGTTTACTATAGGAGAATGGATTTATTTTGCTAAATTTTCGTTACCTTTCAAAGCTAAACCTTGTTGGAATAAGCTGGACTATCTGGAAGTTTGTAGTATGAAGAAGAAGGAAGAATCCACGCATAGCTCGTGGAAAAAAATGTTAAAAAATTGAAGAACCAGGTCCTGTGTTCCTTAAAAAGGGTAATACTAAAGATTTTTTGTTTTTCAGGAGCGATAAAAATGGATCTGTGGTGATTTATGATTCGAAGACTCGAGAGTTGAATGAATTTGCTGATGAAATAATCAAATCAAAACGAAAGTTGAAAGAATTTGGAATTGCTGGGACTCAAGTTTCACTTTTCATTGATCGAACATATGCAGAGGCTTTAATTTCTTCTAATGATGATACTCTGTATTAGAAGTTTAAAATTATTTCTGTTTTGTTTTTAAGTCATTATAGTTAACTTTTCTTTTGTGTCGATAGATTAAAAAGTGTTTTATATTGTTTGATGATTTTTCACCGCGTGTTTGGTATTTACATTGAATTTCATTCCCAATGAAACCCTACTATGTTACTATATTCCAGGTCAATAAGGCACTTCCCCCACTGTTCTCTAGCAAATCGAAAATTTCCTACTAGAATCTTGCGTAGAATATTTATATATTGTTCATTGTTCTCTAAAATTGATTATTAACTGCGAATATTTTACTAGTAATTAGGGGATGGCAATGTTTTACATTGATCACCCCATGACGGATTGCTTATCTGATATTTGGCAAGACTTGCCTTAACAACAAGTTATGGTGATAGTCAGGATTTAGGACGATAACTATGACTTCTTGTGTAGAAATTCACCCATCACATTTTTACATTAAAATTGATCCAAATCAACTTCAAATCTTGCTACTATATACCTTTATTCACAAATCAATTAATATGTGCTTGAAACGTTGATGGAGAACTCCTAGTGTTACTCCTAGTCCTACATCGAGAACATCGATCTACTCATGCTCAAGATGACGAAACAAATTTTTACTTGGGTATGTCATTCAAGAATAAGAGCGAGCTAGATATTCCCAATTTGCCTGATGTTTATTGTGTCAAATGTGTACATCCTGAATGCAAGTGGTGGTTGAGAGTTGTAAAGCTTGAATGTTATGATAGATTTTACATCGAAAAGTATGAAAAATGCAACGAATGAAGCCTGAAATGCGATACCAATATAATTCAACAACCTTCTTTCATACACCAGAACCAGAGATAGTTTGATGCAGCTAGCCTTTAATCTCAACTAGTATGTTTGCTGCCTACATGAATTGAAACTCACATCTCATTGGATTCAGTACAGCATTTAATCTCAACTAGTATGATCATGCCTCTCTTGCCGTTCCCAGATATCTCTGAGAAACAGTACAACAACAACAACATACCCTAAGTAATCCCGCCCCAATGGGGTCTGAAAAGGGTAGAGTGTACGCAGAGTCACGGACCTTACCCCTACCTGAGGAGGTAGAGATGTTTTCTCTATAGACCTTACCCTTTGGGTACGCATAGGGCAAAACCCCCGCTCCTATGCAATTGCTTGCAAATCATGGGAGAGGTAACCCGCACTGGGACAAGCTCAACCCAGAAGGCAAATCCGTGTGTTTAGTAGTAACTCTCTATTTCCATTCTACAAGGAATTTCTCAATGCTCCCATACCAGCTCCACTGGAAACATAGACCAACAACACGTAATATTCCAGCAGCTATCATTTCAACAAATGGCATCATGTATATATGATCACTGAGGAGATAGACCAGCAGTCAAAGTTGCAGGGGACAATGAAGTTTCCTGATAATCAATCAGAACAGAATTAGATGAAAAAAGCTCCTGCTGAAAGTGTCTCCTTGCAAAAAGTCTTCATGAATTGTGTACTGCAAAATCATAAGATTGTCCACACTTTCTCAAAGAATAATGAGTTCCAAACTTTAAGTGAGTCAGGTACATAACAAGACTACTTCTTTCTAATTCTAAATAAAGAAACGAAAGACACTACTTGAAATGCATTTGCTAGTAACTTTAGCATGAAATATAATTCTCCCAACAGAAATCTGACACTTGTTTACTCTGCTAACACTGTAAAGCAGAAAATATCAAGCCAAAATGAAGAATGACGAAGGCAGCAACTGAACATATCAAGGCCTTCCATCTAAATATATCACTTTAATAACTATAATAGACACTTTAAATGAGTTTTTACAGGAAAAAAAACATAATAAATTAAAGGATCAAATATAGACAAATCGAATCTCCCTCAACTGAACCATATGCTTCAGAGGAAAACTCCGACTATAACTTATGTTTATTATTAGATTAATGTGGAGAACTTTTATTTTTATTTTTTATGTTCGGCTAATTGCAATGTTGAGAGTAGGCATTTGTTTAATTAATAATGCAAGTGTTTTCATAGACTAATCCTCGTCATTATTATTTTGTTGTGATCAATTAATGATATTTACCGAAAATACATTGTTTCCCGTATTTATACTACACTTGCTAAACTCTTTTCTGCAGATTTAGATCCATGACCACGCGACTCCACTTGATTGCGACTCTATGTTTGATATGAATCTATATATATATTCTCATTATTGAGTTATCAAATTGCTACGCCTATTGGGTGCATTCTCTAATTAACACACTATCGTTGCATATTGAAGCTGAGAAAAAATGAGCAAAAGAAGGCAAACTCTATAATGGAAGAATTAGCATTAACCAAATCCCAAAATATAAAGTACATTATTATTATTTTGATATCCCTATCAAATTAAAATGGATAGCCAAAATTCCATGTAGAAATACTAAAAGTTTATTAAGATATAAAGAAAATAGAAAAGTGTGACTAGCAAGGATAATCACAAGCACAAAATGGACCTTCAAACCCAATTTGATCAATGCATTGACCACCACCTTTTGGTCCAAATTTTTGCTTGCAAAATGGTAAACATTTTGGCTCAACTTTGCCTTGCTCACACAATATTTCTGGATGTATTTGGTAGCAAGTTTTTGATTCAACTGATGGGATCATTGTTCCAACTGCAAATTAACAACAAGAGTCAAGACTGAGTATTGATTGTTGGAAATCTTACAGAAAAATACTTAATCACAAATACTTATATAGGGAATTATCATAGCTTGAGGCGTGTCAAAAGACACTTTCCTTAAGGATATTTTACCCGATATAGATGTATCCCTAAGATTCAACAAGCTCTTCTGATATAAAACTAGAAACCAGAAGCTAACAATAGCATATATTGAAGGTTAGAATCGTAAAGAAACAAACTAAATATTTTTTATTACCAAAAAATAGAGCAACGACGAGAAGGACAAAAGTCAAAAGCTTTGCCATTATTCTTTCTAGAGATAATATAATATGAATGTATAGTCTTTGGTAGTGTCTATGTGTTTCTATGCACTTTGAATGATCAAGCTAACAAAGAGTGTGATTTTATAGCTTCTAAAATAGCTAATAGAGTGAGATAAAATCAAATTCCTAATGATTAAATTTTGAAAATTTAAAATATCTAATTAGAATATTCTAAAAGATAATTTGTTAATTATTATCTTGTTTTCAAATTCTTTATTGTCTTGATGTGATTTTCAAATGAATATTATTCCGACCCCTTACTAGTCACTATAACATGGAAAAATATTCTTTAATATCTCAAAAATAAAGTTTATATCCATGAAATATTCCTACATTTAATTAGCAATTATGGCCTTCATTACATGAAATTGTCCATTGCCAAAGCTTTGATATTTCCTTCCTTAAATAGCATTGATTGATTATTTTCTAACCTTACTTTTCTTTTAAACTGAACATATATTTGGCTATTATTCCTATTATAATAATTACCAGATTCTTCTTAATTAGCTATAATAGTCCTTTGGCTGTTGGAAGCTTTTGACTATTATATGGTGTGAAATGATTTTACAGCTTTCTTTTCTTTTTGTGTATTTATATTTGGGGAACTTTCACATATAGCCACTCAAAAATAGTCTAATTACTCTCCATAGCTATAGTTTGATAATTACAATTCGTAGCTACATGTTATATGGAGGAGAGAGGCGAGCGAAACTGGGAGAGAGAGGAGAGAGGCGAGAGAGAGGGGGGAAAGAGTGGAGAAAGGTGAATTGTATATGTATATAGGTTAGATAATTGTATATTATACATATATATTTGTATATATGGCAAGAGAGATTGGGAAAGGGAGGAGAGAGGCGAGCGAGATTGGGAGAGGGAGGAGAGAGGCGAGCGAGATTGGGAGAGGGAGGAGAGAGGCGAGAGAGAGAGGGCAGAGAGGGGGAGAGAGGTGAATTGTATATGTATATATGTTAGATAATTGTATATTATACATATGCAATTGTATATATAGCAAGCGGGATTGGGAGAGGGAGGAGAGAGGCGAGCGAGATTGGGAGAGAGAGGAGAGAGGCGAGCGAGAGAGGACAGAGAGTGGGAGAGAGGTGAATTGTATATGTATATAGGTTAGATAATTGTATATTATACATATGTATTTGTATATTCTGACGAATTATACATATACAAACATGACTAATTATACAAACTCGAAGTCAGCCCGCGTAATTAATGTATAATGTTAGTCGTGAGTGATAATTATAGCAAACTATAGCTATGATGAGTAATTAAGTAGTATAAGTTTGCTTAACCGCGTAATTTTCCCTTTATATTTCGAATGTGGGTCAGTCCAATTGGGTTGGTAAGAAATACAATATTATATATTCAATATACAATATTATACAAAATTGTAAAAGGTATATGCTCATATACAATAATATATAATTCTATACACTATTAAACAAATTGAAATTTCGTTAAACATTGACAATTGATTTCTCTCAAATGACAAGATAGAATCTCATGAATATTTGTGGAGAGGTAGATCTAGTGATAGACTATCATCCCTAACAACTGAGAAATCATGAATCACAACAATATTTTATTGGAAAATATTTTGAAAATTGTTGACACTTCGCTTTTGGGATTTCGCTATAGTGATTACGTGTGTTATTATGATTTTCAGCAGTTATGGATGAAATTTTGAAAAGATTCTTGTTGTGTTCAATTCATCTCATCAAGATCTATCATTTCGCTCTGAATTTGGATTTTTGGAGCTAGGTCTAAAGGGGGTTCTGGCCTCATGGCAATCTCTAAATAAAATTGTCCCTGATGTAAGTTTTGGTGTTTTATATTTGAAGCTAGGTTCAAATAGTATTTTAAGTATGTACTTATCAATTTTGGTCATTTAAATTTGTCAAAAGTTAACAAAAATGGTCTATTATACTTGAGGGTAAATTCAAAATAGTTCCTTAAGTATGTCCTTAACAGTTTTGATCCTTTAAATTACCAAAAATAAACACTTATAGTCTCTAGCAAAATATTTACAATAATCAAAATCTCACTAATCATAGAACTTGTGTAATAAAAAAATATGATGAATCAGATCAAGAAATGTAAATCAAAAGACTAAACATCACAAATTTCCTTTGATGGCTGCAGCTTACATTTTTTTAGTGCATAACCTTTGTAATACAAAAATTACAATAGTGCAAAAGGACCCTAAAGGCTCCAAGGTTTAATTAAAACAATGTTCAGGATTTCTCAACAAATAAAGTTATAAGTGCAACAAGCATTAGCATAAAAAGGGACGAGAACGAAGAAATATAAGAAGATGCTGAAGTGTTGTTGGGTTTTTGAAGCGTCGTCTTTGGTAGTAATGAAGGTTTTGGTGGAGATGCCACCGTCGTCGTCGGTTTTTCAACAGTTGGTTCATCATCTTCTATGGATGGTGGATCAACTTCTGGTGTTGGTTCTGCTGATGCTTTACCAACTGAAGTAAACAATTAAGTTGTGCCAATTCAGTAACAAATGAAAACAATGTAAAAGTACTTAAAACATATTAGCATGACTAAACTTGTATTCTAATTATTCCTTCTGTCCAACAAGAATGATTCACTATTGACTTTGACATAAGAATCAAGAAGCAGTAAATGATAAAAGATTGAAAAATGAACAGTATTTAATAGCAAGGATAAAATAGACACAAAATGGTAGATTATTTATTGATTTTATAAACTGGACAAGTACTATTAGATATCACAAAATCAAAATAGTATAGTAGACAAGTAAAGATGAACAGAGGGAGTAATTAGTATATTCGTCTAATCTATTTATGTTCAATTGTGTAGAACTTTTTTTTTTGTTAGGTCTGCATGAATTTCATCATTTTAATATGAAGAGAAAAGAGTCTGATATATATACTCCTCAATTTTGTCATTTAGAATTGATATATCTTTCGTTACAAAAGTGACTCACATATACCCTCATCATTACCAAAATGGAAAAACTGAGAGTATATCAGACCTTTTTCCCATAATATGAATATAGTGGTCAGAATTACCTCGTGAACCATGAGGAGCAAGAGAAGGAGGAAAAGCAGCAGCACGTTGGTGGCGAGGAGGATGAGCAGGAACGTGATGGTGATGGTGAGGAGGAGGAGCAACAGGAGCAGGTGGTGGTGCGAACAAAGCCGGACCTGTCATGTTAAATTAAATAGCAACTTACTCTTGTTAATTGAAAGAGAAAAAAAAACTTATTTCAATGAAGTAAAGAGAGAATTTGCAACATTATATTGGTTACCCTCATTTGGGTTAATTCGTCTTGTGGCTATAAATCATTTCATTAAGGATAAAAATAAAATTTTAAAGTCAAGTTGTTTCTAACTATAGAAAGGCCTGACAGTCATTTTAAGACGGACTAAAAAGAAAAGAATGTCACATAAGTTGGAACAGAAGAAATAATAATTTGAGATTGAGACGTAGTTGATGCTATTAGGTTCAATTGCATGCATTGAAAGCTTTAATATACCTGGAGATGGAAGAGGAACTCCTGAAGCTGCAAAAGTAAACAAATGAAAAAACTGACTTTGAGAAAATTTGTTCATAATTAAAACATAATATATATATATATATATATATATATATATATATATATATATATATACCAGAAAGCACGAATCCATGAATAAGTACTTACCACTACACTGTACAGGCACACCACTATTACAAGCTTGAGGAAGTGAAAGTGCCAGAGTACGAATAAACGGTATCGAGACAGGAACATTCCCAGTAACAATAAGACATACACAATCAATGTTATCACTCATTGATGACTTAAGTGAATTGCAGCAATCTTCAGTTGGTGAAGAGCCATTGCTACTGCTTCCAGTAAGGTAATTTAAACAAGGTCTGAAAGTACTAATTATTGTACTTGTACATGCTGTGTTTATTTGACAATTTACAACTTTGAAAGTTGAAAAACTTAGTACAAGAGTTAGCAAAATAATGTCATGTACTGATATAGAAACTTTCAAATTTTCCATCAGTTTGATCATTTTTTATGATTTGAATAAGGTTAATTTTTCAAATGTGGATGTGAATGAATAATTGGTAATGATTTTATAGTTTATATTTACATTGTTTGGAAAATTTCATTTGGAGGAGTAAAAGGTAGATTTGAAATTAGTGGCTTGGAGTTAAACTGCTTTGACTCATAGTCTAAAGTTGGCTTTACCATTTTTTGATGTTAATAAAAAGATTTGGTGTCCAAGTTAGGTAGGACAGTTATACTGCTTAATAGTATCTCCAAATTTCAATCTTTCAATCTAGAACCTCATAATGGACTTTTATTTGGTTCATACTTCAAAAATATTGTGGTACCTATGTCGAATTCTTAAAAATTATATTCTAAAAGTATCCAACACACATCAATGATATTTATGAAGAGTTCAAGCATCATTGATTCACATAGTTTTAATGATTTTGTAGGACCAAAAAGGGTTTTCCTTTTCCTTATTTTTCTTGTTTTAGATTTGTCAATCACTATTTTCCTATTGAAAAAATGTGTGTTAGCTATTTTTATAAATAATTTGTTTGAATCGATGGGAAAAAAAATATAGTAGTTAATATATTCATACGAAGAAATTAGAAAGTTTTTCACTATTTGAGTGAGAATCTGCTTTCCACCATGTATTTTCTCAGCGAGCTGATTCGATGAAAACAAGTGGGAAAATCATATTTAATAAGACAAATTTCTGACTGATTCACGGTGGAAAAAACTTTTGTTTCTAATAATCAGAAAACTTTTGATTCAAAAAAAAAAAAATCCTATAATATTAAATTGAGATGATTTTTTTTTTTACAATGAACATTGAAAATTTATAGAGTTGTGTCCATAATGTTTGGGACTAAGGTATTGTCGTTATTTTTTCTTCTTCTTTTTTCAAATTCATTAGCCACAATAAAATTAAAAAAAAAAAAAAAAAAAACTTCCTCTGCCTCAAAAAGATTTTCCTACTTTTCTTTTTAATTAGTCTATTTAAAAAAGAATGACTCATTTTTTTACAACACTTTAATTTCAATTTTTCACGTGACATGTTTAAGACCATAAGATTAAAGAATATTTTGGTACATGTAGCATAATTTTAATTTAAGACCATAAAATTGAAAAATCTTCTTTATTTTCTTATATTTCGTGTCAAGTCAAATTAGGTCTTTTTTTTAAAAACGGAATGAGTAAGATTGAGGCGTTATGTTGAGAGGAGAAATCCAGACCATATAACCCAATAGCCTACTTAATAAGTTTACACTTGTCAATGGTACAAACCAAGTCTAATTTTCTTTATTTTCTATTGAAATGTTTAGTTATGAAATTAGACATTTTTTTCTCATTAGTTTGAGTTGGCCAACCAAACTACCTATCATTTCTTGTTGTTTAGTACATAGACTTTATGTATTTAAATCACAACCTTTTATCTCCCTCAGCACTCAAACTTGTAAATTCTCAACCAACTCAAACTTCTCTAAACTTAAAGAAAATGACATCCAAAGTCATGAATATTATATCCCTAATCATAGTTGTGTTTGCCCTGTTTTGGAATAAGGGTGAAGCTCAATCAAGTTGTATGACTACATTAGTTGGATTGGCACCATGTATGAATTATGTTACTGGAAATTCATCTACTCCATCTTCAACTTGCTGTACAGCCTTGTCTAGTGTTGTCCAATCCAATCCTCAATGTCTTTGCTCTTTGGTTAATGGTGGTGGTTCTGGTCTTGGAATTACAATAAATCAAACTCTTGCTCTAGCCTTACCTGCTGCTTGTAATGTACAAACTCCTCCACTTAGCCAGTGCAATGGTAAAATCCCAATCTTTAATCTTATATGCTACTTGTCAGTACCAGATGCGGATATAGGATTTCTAGAATATGATTGAACCTCTAAAGAATGAAAAATAAAATGTATTTAGTTGGAATGGATGCATCATTCAATTCTTTTGGAGCATGGGAGCCAACAGATAATATTAGCTCAATTCTAAAAAGCATATATATAAAATATCTAGTTTGATGGAAAGACCATGAGTTCACGTGCACCACAATTTCTATACTAAATTACATTATTGTTACTTAACATGTAGTAGGTCTTGAGAATACGATTAAACTTTTAGATGAGATGGTCACACACTTCAACTAGAGTTTCTGAGAAAAGAATCAGGCTTGTTACTATTATTTGGACTTGATAGTGTTCTAGAAGTTCAACTCATCTAATAATCCACTATATATTTTTTTTGCATTTACAAAAAGCAGCAGCAAATGGACCAAGTGCTTCAGTTCCAGCAAGTTCACCATCAGGTTCCCCTGCCCCAACTGGTTCATCTGATGAAATACCAGAAATCCCAGCAACTCCATCAGGATCAGGTAATTCCCGCGAAAAAAAGGACGAAAACAGAAAAAGAATTCATTTTTATCTATTTATCTGATGTTATATATAAGTAATATCTTAAAAGTATGATGCTAATATATTTGCAGGTTCAACCGGGTCCAAGACTGATACTTCAAGAAATGGATCATCAAATGCAGGAAGCAGCAACATCAAAATTTCTTTCAGTTTAATGGGATTCATACTCTTCATTGTATCAAGTGTTTTGGCTTAGATTGCTTTAGAGTTTTATGTCTCTTTCTAGTTCAAGGAGACTCATTTTTTTTGCTATTGAAACATTGTTATTGTGAATTAATTTATGCCACCCCTTTTGGGGTCGAGTGTGATTGGTTGTAATTTGTTTTTAAATAGTAATCATCTCTTTGATCAATCGTAAGTGGACTATGTTTTTCTTTTACTCCTCCCTAGGTGTTTTCACCCTTTTTGTTCCTTAGGTAACTCGAACAGCCACAATTGGAGGTGAAACGTGTTTATTATTCGAGCAACTATTGTTGTCTAAACAAGACTCTATTCTTTTTAAGAAAAATTGGGTTTAGGGAAAGGGGTAATGGGATAGGGGAATTGAACTCTCACCAACAACGTGAAAATTTAGATAATCAACTGAACTACTATTAAGATTCACCTGAACAAACATGGTTCAATGCTTTCTTTGTGCTTTTTTTTTTTCAAGTAATAAACTCCTGATTGATCTGGTCCATTTTAATTTACCAAGGTGGTCCTCTATGTACAAATATTAACCTCTAATTAAGGTTATTTAAGTTTCTATTAAAGACCAAAGTTTCTAAAAGGCATAATACATATATTGGCCCCTAAACTTAGCTTCAAATTTTAACTTTGACCTCCAACTTTCATAATGCACAAATAGGCACTTTAACTATCCTACCTTTAAATAAATAAACACACGATTTTTGGAGCCAAAGAGCGTGAAATGCAAACGCTCCCACGTGTATTAGTGAGCCACTCAATGGCTGCCAACTAATTAAATATTTTACACGTCATTTTAGAACTAAAAAAAATCAAAATTAATTTTAATTTATATACAAGAATCAAAATTAATTCCTCCTAATGGTTTTGCTAGCTTGGAGCTCATTGGGTCTGTTTTCATGGGGTTTGGGGGGTCATTTGGTTGTTGTTTTGTGTCTGGTTCGAGCTGTTGGTTGTAGCAGTGTTGTTTCGTGATGATTCTTGGCGGAGATGGCGGATCTGATGGGTTTGGGGTCGGGTATTTGGTGGGTTTAGCGAGCTCGAAGCTAGTTCGCTTCATGGGTTGTGCTCCAGTGTGAGGAAGAAGGAGAACGGCTGGGTTGGAGGTACTTGTTTGGGGGTCATTTGGTGGTGGCCTTTTGCCTGAAAAAGAAGAAAATGAACGGGGGTTTTGGGTTGCCGGAATTCGGGGGGTAGAGTTGTCATTTCAGCATTTTTTTACTATTGTTTTTGTTGCAAAATTATTTCAGAGCAGCCCATAAATATGGGAAGACATGAGAATCAATGAACTTCTCCTTCTTTTGTTAGTTAAAGTGTATTTGTGCTTTAAGTTGTCAAATACTTAATGGAAAAAAAGGGTGTTTTGTGTATTGTGATTGTCATAGTGAATAGCAAATTACAATTATGAATTTTTGGAGGCCAAAAAATGAACATACAGTGCTAAATATTATTAAGTAAAATGGTGCACTTAAAGTGTTTGATAAATTGTCTGAATGAATTTTTTTGAGATTTTTGTCAAATTTGAGTAGCAATCTAATACCTAATCAAAATGTAAGGAGTCCCTTAAGTGTGGATCGGATTCATTGATCGAGAACCTTCGAACTTAAATTGCATTCGACTTTTACAAGTGTATACTCACCCATCTTGCCAAAAAAAAAAACTTCATTATAATTTTTTTTCGCAATAACAAAAAAAATTATTAAATGTCACTTGCATTTTGCAGTGAACAACAAATAATGCAAAAAAGAGGGGAAAATTGTTGAAAAAAATATAAAGAGGGTTTAATTGTCCTTTCAATGCTTTTTTTACTGTTGGGCCCCTCGATTTTAACATCTGACGAGCCTAATTTGAGTTTATTTCACGCATTTTGCCAGGTAGGATCCGAGTGTTTTTTTGTTTAAGTTTTGGATATTTAAAGTGCCTATTTGTGCATTATGAAAGTTGAAGATCAAAGTTATAATTTGAAGCCAAGTTAAGGGTCCAATTTATGTATTATGCCTTTCTAAAATACAGACCTTGTATAACTAAGCTGACAATCAATCTCGATATGTTTAGTTCTGAAATTAAATATGGGGTTAGAGGCAATATGTATAGCTGCTTTATAGTAAAAACTAAACAGTGATCCTGGAGTAGGAATAGAAAAGACTGACTTCTTCAACAAACCAGTGATCCAAGTCTGCAACAACAACAACAACTTTTCAATTAGTTTCTGCTGATGTTTCTAACAGTAACCATTTTGACTACCGGTGAGAAAGTATCATGACAATCTAGCCCCTCTTTCCGATTATATCCCTTCGCCACAATCCGTGTTTTTAACCCAACTTAAGCTGAAGAAACTTATCCAATGGTCACCACTAACTGCTTTTAGTCCCAAATCTTTGGGGTTGCTTTATCCAATAAACATTGTTTACATTTCTTTATGTTATATAATTTGTACCAGTAGCCGGTTTATGAATGAGTGTTCTTGATTATAAGAATATTAGATGAAACAAATTCTAATAGTCAACCACAATCAGGAAATAATTAGAAAGGAAACTGGTGTTATGAACTTTAAGTGAAAAAGCTATAAAAGGTTATATGTAAACATATGTCATTCATCTATTGACTTGATATAAACATTGAATGCGAGTAAATTTTTTATCATATATTAATAATCTGCAATCTTTCTATATCAATTAGACCACCTATTACCTAAGCACTACCAACTACAAAATGAAACATATATGTTTCTGATTGACACATCTCTTTTCTTGTTGCAACCAAGACTACCTGTTCCATATTTTATACTACTCCTAGCATCATTTGAACACAACCAAACTTTCTTCAACCAGTTATTTATATCGACTATGCAAAGTTATAGTACCTCAATTTGTTAAAGTTGGTCAACCAAAATATCAACAACGTAAAGTTTTCTCTTCTTCCCTAGTTCCATTATAAATTCAAACTAGACCAATGCTTTAGTTCCATACCCTTGATCAACCTGCTAGCTAGCATTCACTAGATGGCTTCAAAAAGAATTGAGATCGCTCTAACTCTGACTTTGGTGCTCGTGTTCGTGCAATGGGATGGAGTCAGAGCACAATCAGGCTGCACTACTGCACTGGTGAGCTTGTCCCCATGTCTAAATTATGTTACTGGAAACACAACAACTCCCTCGACATCTTGTTGCTTACAGCTATCAAGGGTTGTTGCATCACAGCCGCGATGCCTGTGCTCTGTTCTAAATGGTGGTGGCTCCTCTTTTGGTGTTTCTATTAACCAAACTCAGGCTGTTGCACTTCCTAGTGCATGCAATGTGCAAACTCCTCCTGTTAGCCGCTGCAACGGTATGAATATATATGCTTACAAAAGAATATTTTTATACTATCACATCGTTTAAAAGATAACTACAACAACGACCCATAATAAGTACTGTAACTAGTCACCTAATAAGTATACAACTAATTGAATTATGTAAAAACTACTTATATTGTCGGTGTGTACAAGTTAACTCCACCTAAATCTCACATCACTATTTTCCTACTTGACAGGTGGTGCAAATGGACCAGCAGCTTCGCCTGCTGATAGTCCTCCAGCGGACTCTTCTAAAGGATCACCAGACATTCCTTCAGGTATACCATGGTTACCGTTTGATCATAGATTTTGAAGTTGTGATTTTTGTAATATATATAAAGGAGATGCATCTTACTTAAAAATAAAACTAAAGTCTTGTGAGCGCAAGTCCCAAAACCTAGTCTGAACTTAAAATATTTCAAGATCACATTTCAAAATCTGATCAAATTTCGTGGTCAAATAGTTATTTGAAGACAATTTTTAAAAATTACTTTCAAAATCTATGGTCAAACGCTAGATTAACGTCTTTTCCACATTTTGAAAGCACTGACTATTTTAATTAATCTATGGAAAAAAGCAGGAACAGGGTCAAAGGCCAGTGGTGGTGGCACATCTGATGGAAGCATTGTGGAACTCACAGTTACTTGGATCTTCACTGTTGCATTCACTGCTTTTGCATCAACATTCTTTTAGATTTAAGTGTTTTTTAGGAGTTTTGAACATTTTAAGTTGTTCTTTTCCATGAATGATGATTTTATTATTGATTTTGTCCCCAAAATTGTAGTACCAGCTATGAGTGCATGTCCTGTATTGTGTCAACACTTACTATTGAGTTATTCATCGAGTCTTGGATAGCCAATTCTAGCACATTTTAACTTAACCACAAAAGATAGCTCATGCAGTACCATACTAATATAAAGAAGTGAAATTCCACCTCCCACATCAATGTGGGACTCGACTAGACATATGAGCGTGGACAATATACTATAAGGGCTTAACAACGGGTAAATCAAGAATTGCGTTGAGCCTGGTAAGATACCAATAAGAAAATTGACAAGAGTCTAAAGCAGAGAGAATATGAAGGATGGCAGTTGATAAAAATGAATTAGATCTATTCATAAAGAGTTCTCTCTATCCAAGACTTGTATTTATTCAAAAAAAGTTGAACGTTCAAGTTTAACACAATGAAACCTTCTGGCTTCTAGTTAAGAAAACAACAAAAGAGACATAGGAAAAAGAAAAACGAGTGAATTTGCCTAACACTTCCCCTTTGATCTAATCCACATTCGCAATGCAGACCTTTTTATTGGGGCAACACTTCCAACATGATATTTTTTCATATTCAAGGTTTGAACTCGAAACTTTTGATCAAGGGTAGAGGGATCACATCAAAAATATCGTGCCACAACCATGTTGTTTGTTCCCAATTTAATCGTCCTATGTACACATACTTCATTCATTTCCAAAGAAATATATATTAATCTCTGTATTGCTCCGTTTTTATGGGAGTTGCATTTTTCTAAACTTAACCCAAAGTTTAACTTAAACCTTTTATTTTAAACTCAATGACAAGTTCTTATAGTCACACATATGTTATGGTGTATTTCATATTACAAATTTCAAAATTAAACAAATATTATGATATATTTAAGATCATAAAATTCTAAAAGTCCTAATATGTTATTTTTCAAATTCAGTGTCTAATCCGCTTTATTAAAATGAGGGGTACATATATGGTCCAAGAGAAACGTTGGGTTATTTAATTTGCACCGTTTTTGCTTACTACTATAAGATTTCTTGAAAGCATTCATATTTCTTTTTATCCCTTTCTAGTCACTTTCACCATTTTGCTTCTTTGATGTCTCGATCGAATCCAAAACCTCAAGGTGAAGCAGGGGGGGAGCTACAGCCGGCGAAGGTGGTCAGTTGAACACCCTTCACTGAGAAATTAAATCGTGTATATTGATAATATATTCTTTATTATGTGGATATATAAATAAATGAACACTCTTAAATACAATAAAGGTCTTTGGTCTGTCCGGAAAAAGTTTCAACAATTCTCTTGAACTATAAAAAGTTCACTTATTTTAAATTATGAAAAGAGTCCCAACAATTCACTTTTAAAAAATGTTGCACCCACTTGCTAAAATAAAATTCACTCTTTTAAAGTTTGAACACCCTTGACGAAATTTCTGACTCCGCCACTAAGGTGAAGGTATTTACCATTTGACTATTCGAGCACTCCTCTTGTCAAGACATTCTTATTAGTCCTTTCATTCTAAGGGACAAAAAGAGCAATTGGAAGCCCTGAGTAGTAAGCTATGTGCTGTGTGTCCTGAGAAACACCGGACCACAAGAATCTATTGTATGTAACTTTGTCGTATATTTCCGCAAAAGCTTATTTTCAGAGTTTGAACTTGTGACCTCTTGATCACATGAAGATAACTTTATCAGTTACATCAAGGTTGTCCTCCGAAAAAAGAGTAGATATTAATTAAACAATTTAGAAGTCATCCATGAGACGTGGAGACAAAAGAGAGGCCCTTGAACATCACAACACCTTATAACATACCAAAAACCGCTCGAATGCTTATCTTCACTTAATATAAAAATCTCCCAAATTAGATGATCAAATTAATTAATACTAATACAGTTGTCTACTACGTAATTACTATTCATTATCAAGTAGGAAAAGTAGTTAACCCACATTCACAACAAAACCTTAATTTAATTCCCCAAGTAATTTTCCCTATATATATAAATATTGCTTCTCTCGTAACTCATCCATTCCAAAACCATATAACAAAAATGCAAATATCAACAAGTACAATATTTTCAGCACTAGCACTACTTCTTCTTTCCTTGTTACTACATGTGAGTTCTCAAGCAGAAGATTGCCAACAAGTTATCGTTGGTTTAGCACCTTGCTTACAATACATACAAGGAAATGCTACAACTCCATCGTCAGGTTGCTGCACACAGCTTGCTACTATAGTGAAGACGCGACCGCGATGCGTGTGTCATGTTTTTAGTGGTGTTAATGTCAATCAAACACTGGCTATGGCTCTTCCTAAAGCTTGTAATGTTCATATCACTCCCTCTCTTACACTATGTCAAGGTACACCTAAGTTTATCAATTATTTTTTCCATTTTGTAAATGGATGTTATAGTACCCTATGTACTTGTCTTTTCTACAATACAAGTGATTTTAGATGTCTTTTGTGGAACATGAGAGTATAAACTATAACAACCACATATTAATAGAGAAGGTATTGAAAATATCTCTGAACTTGATGCAAATTATTAGTTTCATTTGCGAATTATTGATAGTCTTAATTAAAAACACCCCTCTATTTGACTAACTAAACTTAAATACACCTCTGATCGATATGCATTCTTCTCTCAGAAAGTCACTCAACTTAGAACTTTAACTCAAAATTCACTCAATTATGTACTATTTTCTTAGAAAGTCACTCAACTTTGAATTTTAACTCAAAAGTCATTCAACTATGAATGTTTTACTTACAAAGTCACCCAATCTATTTAGGTGACTTTGTAAGTAAAACATTCAGTGACTTTTGAGTTAAAATTCAAAGTTGAGTGACTTTCTAAGAAAAGAGTACATAATTGAGTGACTTTTGAGTTAAAATTTAAAGTTGAGTGACTTTCTGAGAGAAGAGTACATAGTTGAGTGACCATCTGAGATATTATCGTCATTTATAATGTTCGTTTTCATTTCTAATGATGGTGAATAATCATTGTGTAACATGTTTTAATGTAAATATAAACATTTCAGCTACTTCCCCAGCTGGTTCTCCACTCTCTTCATCCACTCCTTCAGGTACAAATACTAACAAATCTTGATTTTGTAATAAGTACTCCACATTGTTCATCTTCTTTTATGCACTAATTTTATAATGGTCATGAGAAATTATAAACTTGAGGAGTTGACATATATGCAGGAGAGGGATCAAGAACTTCACAAAGTGAGGATTCATCAAGAGGATATTCATTGAAGCTCCCATATTACTCTCTTTTATTTACCATTGTTATAGCCTCTTTCTCACTGTTCAACACCATCTAAACGCTTTTTGTTCAACACCATCTAAACTCAAAAGCGTGTGTGAAAAGTCAGAAGGATCAATAATGTTCTCACTTACCTTTCAATGTGACTCAAACACTCAACCTACTGATTCAATGTACAAACGGTACAAGTATATTACACATGCTTTATGGTTTGATTCTTTGTATCTTTCAAACAATAGAGTCGGGGTTCATGGTTCAGTTTGAATAATATTTTCTAGAAAATCAAATCAATTAAGTCACTTTTTCATCGATTTAATTATTATCTATTTATTAATTTAAAGGTATGACAATAATATACTTTCAAATACATATTAGATTGACTATATTTTAAGATAACACTACCAAATCAATTATATATACTCTAAACAAAGAAGGAAAATTGTATATGTAATCAACTTTCATAAATATGTAATTTCCTCGAAAAAAATCATATGCATTATCTAAGAATTTAGTCATTTTTCAAGGACTATAATAAAACTTTATACAATGATATGGTTTTTTTTTTTTTTTTTTGCAAAATATTAAAGAGTTGTGATTTACTTGGATATCACGTTGGTAATTGAATTAACTGGTGATGAATAACTAAAGAACTACCAACATGGATTGTGGTGTAATGATGGGACTGCTTCAACTTTAACCAGAGGTCTCAGGTTCGAGCCCTGAGTATGGAGAAAATCTTAATAGAAGCGTCAAACTAAAAATAATAATTATTAAAAAACTCAAGATAAGTTATTCTAAAAATTGAATAGATTTTTGAGATTATCAAAATGAAGACTATAAATCAAACAATCTAAGAAGTAAAAGCAAAGACAACAATAACACCTAAACTAAATTCAAAATCCAAAAGATTAATATGATTAAAAAAAATAAGAATAGACCGAAGCACCTTCTTCGTGATTTGCATAGGATAATTTGTAAGTCACAAATTATCCAATAATAAAAGATAGGCCGATGCGCTTGAAAATGAAATTATAACTTGAATTTTGCAAACAAAAATTATACAATTTAAAATGTCAAAGCATAATTTAAATTTGACTCACATTTTATAAACAAATTTTTATTTCAAATTTTATTACCAAACGAAAATGTCAAGCTTATTGCTATAGAAAAAGAGGTGGTTGGCGTAATTCTTAACTTGTGAAACTCACCATACTTTCAGTCATAAAATAGTAAAATACCACTCTAACAAGGAAAATAAAAAGTTCAATCAACATTCCATTTTTTGTTTTATTTTATATTTTTATGTTTACTAATATCTCCGTCCACTTTTAATCATATTACATTTTTCGAAAGTCAATTTGATAACTTTTTAAAGTTAAATTAGATTACATTAATTTGATGTTTTAAATTTAAAAAAAAATAGATATTCAAAAACTATAAGAATAGTACTATAAATTGCAACTTTTTCCATATCAATATAATTAAAAAACACATCATAAAATGTTAGTCAAAATTCTTATAGTTTGATTCTAAAAAGGAAACTGTGACAATTAAAAGTGGACGGAAAAGTATTCTATTTTACCTTTCTCATTAGCTAGGCAGAAGGTCTCGTGTATTTTTAGCTATATCTAGTCTAGTTATAAAAAGTAATACTACTATACCTTAACTCTTAAGCAAACAATTTAACAAAGATTTATTATTAAAGTTATTTCTTTTATATATGTATGATAGATACTGAAATTTGAACGTTTTCATATTTTGAATCTTTTTAGCAAATATTTTGACTTCATCAGTGTTCTAATGTGAATATAACGTGTGTGTGCATAAAACGGATCAAATTATAGCATTATTTATCGTTTTAGAGATCCGATCATTTGACCATGCGAAAGTAATTAACAATTGTTTCCACGTAAAGTTGAAAAACAAAATAATGAGAATTCATAAGTTGGTTGCGTGTTTCTTTAAATGGAAATTGTGTACATGCCAAGAATATTAGATGATTAAATTAAAATAGTATTGCAGAAAATAAAAAACTATACTTCAGATAACAAAAAATAACTTCTCAATTTTTGGATAATTTTATTTATTTATCTTTCTATTAAGGATATTTATGCAGTTTTAATGAAAATATTTTTTGTTTTTTCAAATAAACTTTTTACAGCATAAACGAGAGTGATTTTCCTATAAAGTTCCCAAATTTTCATGAACTGTCTAATCTATATACAGTAAAACCTCTATAAATTAATATAGTGGGACCATGCAATTTTATTATTTCATAGAGATATCTTACTAATTTATGTATCATATTTATTGATTTCATATAAAAAAAAATATTATACATAAAGTACAACGAATACATCAAAATCATTGTATCTTACTAATTTATGTATCATATTTATTGAATTGTCACTATCGTGCAAACAAAAATGCATGGATGACAAGTGTGCTTTTTGATGAATATATTCGTTGGTTTGACCACATAATGCATGGTAGACGAGTTTTGCTTATGGTAGATAATTGTCCAGCCCATAATAGAAATATTGAAGGACTACAAAATGTTGAATTGCTTTTCTTGCCACCCAACATGACATCCAAAATTCAATCTTGTGATGTTGGAATAATAAGAGATTTCAAGATGTATTATCGTAACAAATTTATCATAGGATATTAGAAGGTTGTGAAGTGGGACAAATTAATCCAGCAAAGATTAATGTTTTGGATGCTATCAATTTGCAATCCCTACTCGGATAACAAATGTTCGGCAAGAGACAATAGCAAATTATTTTCGACACTATAAAATTCGTTTGGGGATGCAATCTCAGAGAATTTGAATAAACACACTTGTGAAAACATCATTCATGAACTTAAGGTCATGATTAATGATCTTGGTTACCACAATAGGATGTCAATAACCTGTTGGATTATCCGAGTGAAAGTGATACATGTTCAGAGGTCCAGAGCTTAGAAGAATTGTGGATACCATCGGAAAAAGCAATGTTGATGATGAAGTTGAAGATGATACTATACCTTTGGAACCAGTTACGCGTAAGAAGCACTTATCGCATCTAGAACTCTTTACAATTTTATGGTGCAGTTCGAAAAGACAAAATCGGAGCTCTTGAATGCAATACGAAAAGTTAGAGATGAGCTTCAACTAGATTTAAATTTTAAGAAAAAACAGAACACAATAGACTCATATTTCACTAAATTGTCTTAGATATATTTGTACTTTTAAAGAATTATTAATTTATGATATTAATGGGACCATATATTTATATAGGAGTCTTCTGGAAATATATTATCTTATTATCTTACCGAAATTGGTGATTTTTTCCATTGGCCCAAGTCGGGACCGAAAGAAAATATTACTTTAGAGAGATTATTAAATTTATAGAGATTTTACTGTATATATAAAAGAGAATATGAAAAAGTTGATGTGGCATACTTCTTTGATCAGGTCTAATTATCTTTCTTTTTTTCTGATTTTTGAGAATTTTCTCTTTCTTTTAGGATTTAAAATAATACATTAAATTAATGATGATCTATTTATAATATTCCTTCAGTTAATTATAGTAATTATCGAAAATTGATTGGTTTCTTCTTCATTGATACATAATCGTTATTTTATTTAGACCTCATTATATGATCATCATTTAATTAATTATTAATCAACTTCAAAAAAATTCACCTTTTTATTTGACATTTTATAATATTTTTCTGATTAAAATTAAATATATTCATGGAAGTATAAAAATATTATTTATTGAAACTAAATGCTCAAATTTTAAATTATACATTTTCCAAAACTTTTAGACTTTTCTTACATCTTATGTTCTGTTCTTTCCTGCAGGGAAATTGTAGCAATTGAATTAAAAATAAGAGTTAAATGTTAGTAATAATAATAATGATTGCAATTAAAATAATTAAAAGCTATAAAATGAAAACCAACAAACAACAGTTACTAATAATATGTCATGGTTTTATTTTTATGTAGAAGCAAATAGTATTTTTATAATATATATTTAGATTGCTTTGAATAGTAATATATATTTAGGTTGCTTTGAATAGTATTAATGATTTGATGAGTTTTTTTTTTTTAATAATGTTCAACATGTTTAGGCGATCATTAATGGACAACTAAATTATAGGGGTGAACACCTCATACTTGACATGTCATACTTCAGAAGGTATGTCATAGTAATTTTTTCAATTTCTGAAAAAGCTAAATTTTTAATTAATTAAAATATTTTATTAGCCTTTCTTTCATTATTTTTGTCATTCATTCTAAATATTGAGGATTTGCTCTAGAATTTTATTTACTTATTAATATTTTATTATTATTTTTACATTTTTTCTTATTTCTCTATTATTATTGTAAAATAATAAATATGTCAATTAACCATTCATTAATACTTTATTAATTTAAAACTTGATGGTCTTTATTTACATTACTCCAATAATTTTTTATTATCATAACCCCTAAAATAATTAATAGTCATTATATTATTTCGATATTCATATTGTAGTTCTATAAATAAAGACATGGTACAACATTGTAGAAATGATTACATTATAAGTCTCTCAAGTTATTATATTTTTGATACGTAATTCTTATATTCATGTTTTAGTTTGACTTGAATAGTAAAATGAAGGTTATTGAATGATGATCGGTTTGTGGGAATGAATATTGACAAGAGTTAGGAAAATTGTACATTGATTTCATATTTTTTTTCTTCAATTTTTTAAATAATTAAGATCATAATAATGATGTACATTATTTATTATTTATCGTATGTTCTATCCATAATTTATTTTTGTTTTATATATTATACGATTTTTTTTATTGTGGTAAGTTTATAAATTTTGTTTTAGGTTCAAATAAACAACTTATGACATTGGTTGGAGTCATGGGACTACTAATCAAACGTATCTTTATAAAATCAATTATACATCTAGATGCATATATATAACATACATGTACATATTATAAATATCTCTTCTATTTATATTATATTTTAATAAATTATCGACATTTTATCTTTTTTTTTAACCGCGTAA